CTTGTAAATACAGGCCACACGGTCCAGGCTGACGTAAAGCCTATATATCACGATAACGTCAAAAATATGGATTTTGAATTTTTATCACATGGTCATAAACAGGCGCTATATTTTCTTAATTATGCCACACTACCAAGAGTGTGCAATAATATTTATCCATAGACCATAATTGATTTAATTTCTTTTTAAATTCAAAACAATACACGATAATTTACGAGGGTCATCAATATAAACAGTTCGTATACACATGCTGCACAGCCCAGTCCTACGTTGAACTAGATTTACGAGGGTTATCCATAAAGTTTGTGGAAAATGTTATAAATTTCTTAATAAAGTCTGCATTGGCAAACATGTATGATGATATTTTAATATGGACCATGATTTAGTAAACATATTTATTTAATATTAAAGCAAGGCACACTCTTTTACGAAAGTTACAGGTGTAAATACTTTCTATATGCAAGCCGCACGGCCCAGTCTGACATAATGCTAATTTCATGATAACGTCAATAATATGATTTGAATTTTTATCACATGTTCATGGACACAAGCTACATTTTCTTTATTATGCCACGCTGCCAAGTGTGTGCAATAATACTTATGTATAGACCATAATTTATTTAATTCTTAACTTCAAAAGAGTTTTTTAAGAGCGTCATCAATATAAACACTTCGTATACACAGGCTGCACATCCAGTCCGACGTTGCGCTAGATTTATAAAAACTTCATGAATAGGGATATCCTATTTTTATCGAATAACAGTGGTTTTTCACTTCTTATAGTATCTCCGAAATTGTACACAACGTTGAAAAATCATATGCACTAATCTCCAATCAAGAACTAAATATATTCCAATAATTTCAAGTTATTTGAATAAACAATTTGTATCCGACTTCGTTTCAACCATACTAAAAAAATAATTTTATGATTGGACGTTGTTCCGTTCGGAAGGCCTACGTCTCTTTTTCTTTCAGTTTTTAAACATATTTCTTGCAGTTTTTGACTAATATTTTCACTGTCTGTATAGTAAGCAATTCTAAAGATATCAGAAAAAGACAATAGCCGCTTTATTTGCAACACACATTAATTTTTATTAAGCTTTAACTTTTTAATAAAGAGAATAATTTTAATCAGAACACTTTATTTCAAAGTTGATGGCATTTGAACCCTGGGTCGTGCGCATTATCTGCGACCTTTAAAAACCGCAATTTTTACAAAAACATTAAGTTTAAGCAATAAAAACCAACCTATTCTGTCTTGGATTTTCATAACAAATATTTTTATATGCAGTAAGAATATATAGAACCACCAATTTTTACATAAACGTCATTTTCCAAGAACTTAATGGACAACCCCCGTATAACAACGTCATGAATAGAAATACCTGTATTCTATTCTCATCAAAAACAGTACTTTTCTTGTAATGTCCCTGAAATTGTACACACCGTATATACCAATCTCAAATCAATGAACTATGAATGTATTCCAATATTTTCGAATTGTTTGAATAAAAATTTTGTCTCTGACGTCGTTTCAACCATATTTAAACATAAATTTTATGATTGGACGTATAAGCATATTTGTTGGGTTTTTTACTTAATATTTTCACTGTCTGTATAGTAAGCAATACTAAAGATATCAGAAAATGACAATAGCCGCTTTATTTGTGACTCATTTACTTTTTATTAAGTATTGACTTGTTTTTAAAGAAAATAATATTTTTTATTATAACATTTTATTTCAAAGTTTATGGTATTTTAACCCTGGGCCGTGCACACTATACATGAAACCGTTCATTTTGACAAAAACGTCACTGTACAAAAAATTTATAAACAACCCTCTTACGGCACTTTGCGTATTTTGGTTTCTTTTCAGTTGGTCTCGAACTATTTTTATGTTTACAATATCCCTCTCTGTTTCGCTCTAGAACTTGCATAAAAAAGAAACCATTAGGCTTATTTTGAACCTTAAAAAAGCCATAACAGAAAACAGTTAGAAAAAATAGACGTATATTCAAACTTAAAGAACGCTGTATTTCAAACATTGACTCAAAAGTAAATGTTTGATTTTTCAAATTTGAAAAACATTACTTCTATTTTGAAAATATGCTAATTGCGTAAATATCTCATTGATGATAAAAAGAAAATTTTTCAAGGTTGATTACACCTTGATCACATCATTATTGAAGCCTTATTGTTGAATGATGATTAAACGAGGTTGTAACGTACTTCAATTGGAAGGAAACATATTTTTGTCAATGGTACGATGGAAACCTGGCCAAAGAAATTTCCCAAGCAACTGGTCAATTTTTCTTTCTGGATGGACAAAATTTCAAAAAATTGTAAGGCCAAATAGAAAATGTAAATACAGTTATTTTTATTCTTTATTTACTGGAAAAAGAAGGACACATTTTTTAGTGTTCTAAAAATGTATTACAAAGAAATTATATTCTTAAATATTTTTCCCATAGACACAGATGAAGATATACGTTTTTCCTATTTTTTGCTGATTTAGCATTTTGCTTGATTTTAGCAATAAGCCAGTCCTTATTATTCATTTTACCAGCTTAAAACAATTGTTGCATCTATTTTACATAAAACTTGAGGAATGCCTCTCTACGAATTTGAATTAAAAAATGGTTGCAATGTTTAAAATTCCTATCGGATGCCACGCTACAAAGATGGATTTTTTGATTAAAAAAACCGGAAATATTTAAAGTGTGATTTTTTTTTTTTTTTTTTTTTTTACCAAAACCACACTTTAAGGACATTATATATACAGCACTCTTTTCTGTAAACTGGTGACTATATGTACCAAATTTAAATTTTCTTCCTTTGATTCTAAGGAAAATTTGCCGTTGCCATGGCGATAGCTAATTGTAAGATAGTCAAGTTTTCAGATCTAGAGAGGTGTCCACTTACCTTTAATTTGTTTTTGGCAATGACATATCTCAATTTATACGATTTTTTTCAAACACATTAACATTTTTAATTTTTATTTTATCAAAATATCCAGTTTTGTTGCTTTTCCATACATTCTGGAAAAAATAAAAACAGCCATAGAGTTACAAGTACTAAATATATTGTCACAGAGACAAATTCAAAGTTTGTGGTGGGGGTGGGGCAGGGGTTAAATATTTAAGGAATGAAGCTTATTTGAACCTATGTTATACGATATAACATAACTTGGGGCAGTTTACGCTTTATAAACTGCGACGCGGTTTATAAAAAAGCGTAAACTGCCACAAGTTATGTTATATCGTATAACATAGGTTCAAATAAGCTTCATTCCTTATAATTCAATTTCCATTTAGACAATAAGACACTGTTTTCTCCAAAAATGACTTCAAATTGAGCATATTTTAAAAGTAACGTCAAGCGAAGTAATACGTTTTTGAAGTAACTCATGGTGACGTAGGCAATTTATGTTATACGATATAGATGAAATCTTTTATCCATTCAAATGACATGTTAAAACTAAAATTGAATTATTAATATATATTATCAGGCTTGAATTTTATCTGGAGGTAAGCTCGGATGATCCCCGGAATTAACGACTATACAATATATAAGTAACATTATAATGTCGTCAAAATCTATCAGAAGCACTATGAAAATTATGTACAAGATATATTAAAATTTACATCAAATGACTAATGTTCAATACCCTGTGATGATAAAACGGAAAATTCATTCATTTTTAATTCTGTTACAAACCTTTCGGTATACCTGAAACACACGTTTTTCTCATTAAGTCTGCTTCAGACCTGAGAGCAATATTAACTTTATATCTTTGTCTCTACAGAGTAATCTCACAATAAACTATAGATCAAGTACAAACGGTAATTTTTAAACATTATCTGTTTTTTTTTCTGGAAAAAAAAAACAAACTTTTAACTGTAATCGACTTCCATATATTCGCACAGTGCATATTTTACTGTTTTCTGTTCGTCAATAAAAGGAAGCAATTTGGCAACTCTTATTTTTCAATAAACTTTTACAATTTTCTGACAACTTTGTTTGTCTTGAGACCAGGGTTGATTACGTTTTCTCAGGATAGATGGTTTTCATATTGCCTCTCAATCTTTTAATGCACGATTTTAACATACATCTGATACATTTAATCCATTCTGACAAAGTGTCAAGGTCTTCTTTTTCATGTCTGGTCCATCGCCTGGCGTAGTCCTCTACAGAATCCATAATATTCTCTTAATCAGCTTTAAAATTTGCTCTGTTTACAATTTGTATTGTTTAATGGGACTTTGACAATGATAAATGAACGCAGTCTTCAGATTTCATAGATACAAATTATCGTCAAACAATCAAACAAATTGCACTGTAAGTGATTAAAAGCTCTAAAAAATGACGTACTTGACCACTCAAGTGTTAATGGTCACTGCAAAGTAGTACTTGACCATTCAAGCGTAAGTGGACACTACAAAGTCTAAATATCTCCATATAAATTCATCAACAATTACTTCCAAATTGTCTTTGAAAATTAATTGATAATTTATGAATATATTTAGAAAGCATTAAAAATTATTTCCTAGTGGGCAATGGTTTTACCATAGCATTTGGAAATTGTGTGTTCATGTTTTGTAGCTAAAAAAGTTTTTTCTTTAGATGAAAGGGAAAATCATAATTACAAACGTTTCAAAAATTGTTCTCCATTTAACTGTATTTTTAATAAAGTAGCCTATATATATATGTAACATTATTCATTTCTTTATGTGTGTTTTGATATTTTTTCAATGTTATTTTTTGATGGACGAGTTTTGCTGAGATATATTAGTTATTGGTTTAATTATGGAATGTTCACTTCAGTCTTTCCTTATTCTTTATCCGTTCTATGAACAAATATATATATATATATATATATATATATATATATATATATATATATATATATATATATATATATATATATATATATATATATATATATATATATATATGATGGTTGGTCTACTATTGAAAGGAAAGGAATCTCGATCTGAAGTCTATAATTGAGATGTCTGATTGGAACTCGTTTTAGTACTAATATGATCCGCATTTTGTCTTCTTCTTTTCCTGATGATGATGAAAACACCTGCATTAAATACACCACCCAGGTTTGAAAAAATTACAACTATAGTGAAAAATTCCTCTGGAACCATCGCAAAATTTTGCCACACACTCACGATGCCCAGGGCCCACCACTGCACGAAAAATACCGCCACAAAGAGACTCATCATTTTGGCAGCATTGAAAGATGCATGCAGAGTTTGGGTTTCTTTTCCAAGCGTGGTTCTTAGTTGACTAGATTTTTTGTAAATTTTCCACCATGTTGAGATATACAATACCACGTTTACCACAAGTACAATCGTCATCGGAATAGTTGTAAAGAAGATACTGGCGAATGCTCCTTTTACCCCGTCAAAGTAACAACTGCGGTTTAAAAATTAGAAACAGATACATGTATATTTTAATATATTAATTAAAAGTCAACTATAAAACATGCATTTTAATGTTTTCATCTCGAATCTCAAAGATGTCTATAATACATGTATCTAATGAAAGGAAAAAGAAACGCAGTGTAAACTTTTGAAGTGCTTAATTGGAATGTAATTTTCAATATTGTCATCTAACAATTAAACACATCTTTAGTCAACAAGTTAACAAAATCTCATTTGATTTTGACCAACAGCTCAAGAGGTTTTTGAGACTCGTTAAACACATTTATCCCCAGGGAGTGAAATCAAAAGTCGATATAGCAATTATCTCCTTTGTCTCTTTCGAGCATCTGTCACATCCTTAATTTTCCTGTTCATGGAGTTCATGTGTGCATTTATCTTTCTCATATTATTCAACATTTTCAACAATGTAGCCCCTAGTTGGTCGAGAGTAGTCGAGAGAAATCCGACGCCTTCTTACCCTATACTGGCCAGTTAGTTTCACTATTGTTTGATAGGAGACAAGGGAGAAATGTACGGAGAACAGTTGAGAGGGTTCGTGTGATTTGTTGCAAGAGATTCTTAACATAATCTGGAACATTGGACAGAGGTTTAACATATTAAGGCTCAGAGCACACAAAGGCGCGAGGGAGAGAAAAACCGAGGTAAAGTTGACAAGCTCGAAAACCAAACTCGCCCATTCAGTTTTTGTCCCTGTTTGGGTTGAATATAACGATTATGATTGCCTATTGTTTGAATAGCAGTTTCAGTGGTAATGACGTGGCGATGACGCAGGTTGCAGGATGGATAGCTCCATCTTGACCAGGCATTCCCGTCATAGTTGGTTAAAAACCCTTCCATTTCCTCTTTGACAACAGATAAGACATTTTATTGTATATAAATTAACATCAAACCGCTTAGGAACCTGTTTCCTCCTTTGTTTGTAGTTAGGTAGTGAAATCTTACGACCCCATTTAACATGTCCTTCGTACCATGATTGCAAGACATTCAAATTGCTTGTAAAAAAGCGAAAACCGATGTGTATACCTTAGAAATTTCAAGCTGTTTACAAACCAGTGATCGTCAATCTGCACATGATTTTGGCTTTTTACCCCTTTCCTTATTTGACTTCATACGTTTTAAGTTTGACTAAATTTAAACACGAATTTTAGTGCACATCAACCATAATACCCCTTTAACTAATTTTTCTTTAATTTCGGTCATATTGTTAAAAATATCGCATGTGATATTAACCTGGGTTTCTTTTACCCTTCAGTGTATATAAAATGCGAAAGAAATAAAACAACAGAAACTTACTAGGATCCAGATGGCCCGTAAAATCCTAAATTTACTGCGCACATGGATAACACGAAAGGAACACCGAACGTATAAATCAGGAGTTTCCAGTCATATCTGCCAAGTTTGAACTGTTTTTGTAGATATATCAGACAAAAGGCATTGACAGCTGCTACATTGGTCATCAAGATCTGCGCTGAAACAAACTCTCCGATGAAGAAGGCATAAAACTCACACAACTGCAATGGATAGACGTGTTCCTTTGTTATGGCCATCTGAAGATGATCCATGCTGTGTGTCACATTGAAAAGGCCATCACATAAAGACAGGTACACGACAAAACGCTCACTTCGCATCCAGGAGAAGAACGGTCGTGTTTGACCTCTAAATGACACGATTATAACAGTTGTTGCTGCTATAAGACTGAAGAAAATGCAGCATAAAGCAGGTATATGTATGAAAAGAAACCAGTTCGAAGCAAGTCCCAGTACCTCCAAATCATAACCATCATTCAGTACTTTATTCACTATATGTGTAACGTTCTCAGAAGAATTCGTTTGGGTGAAGCTTACAGTAGCGTTCAGATTCATTGCAATGTGGAAATCAACGTCCTCCTTTAAAGTGTGCCACAAATCTTTGTCTATAACGATATAAGGCTTTCTGGTTTTATTATGTGTCTGAAAATAAAACAAAATTTAAACAAAACTTGATAATGTAAACATTCTCTTAAAATGACAAGGTGAAGATAATGAACAGTGATCGATCTCATAAAAATCTACAAACAATACAAATCTGTGAACACGGCATAAATCAAGGACCACTGTAAATTCCAGAGTGGGACCAGGTTCCTAGGAGGAGAAGGCATATACTAAATATTATGTTATTGCACAGGTTTGTATAAAACTTTTATTATTAAAAACAAGGGAAAACTTTCTATATAATCAAAATAATGAAAGCAGAGGATCTTTCAATTACATTAATAATACATTTATTTGTGACAATTCCTACCTGGGTCCCTTACTGTGGTAGATATTGTTAAACGGATCTAACGTAGATAGTTTGCACACTTTAGCAATATATTTTATCAATACACATGCAAGTATATATATACATCTAATGAATATAATTATCTGCTTTATTTTTTAAAGAAACCCATGATTGTTCATCACCTAAAGACACTAAGCAAACCACCTGTATATATTTCTTGAGCAGTGGCTCTTTCAATGAAACACAATTACATACATTCAAATAATACAATATTTTACCTAAAGCTACTAAATTCTACTTCAGTTGATTATTTATATAGAAAAAAATATGAACAATAAAACGTCTTTCTTTATTTGTTATTAAGGGAATTAACGTCGCAACTAATGCATAAAAAAATTACATTTTTTTTCTGCAACACCTGCAACATTAATTTCAATACTAAAAACAAAGAAAGTATTTTATTGTGTAAATGAGATTTCTCTCATTGCTGGACCCTGAACCCCCCCCCCCTCTCCCCCCAACAGAAAATATATGCTCAGTAAGCGAGGTTAAACCGGATACACTGGGCAAAAGTGAGACTGTGCATGCCTAAGAATCCTAGACAATTCGGCCTTAGGTCAACTTGTCCTTAGGACGATATGCCTTCATCCATTTAGAACTCGCCCATCATTGACATTGACATATCGCTTAAATTATGTATATTGTACTTAATTATTTTTAGCGTACTCAAATCCAGAATGTACTCTTTTGTACAATTTACATGTACATTTATCTTAATTTGTAAATAAAAAAATGTTCTTTTTTAGTTATATATATACCTATGGTAAACTTAAGTTTAAAAACAGTTAATATCGGGGTTTCTGACAAGCTTGTTAAAATTCAGAGATGTCTCCTTGTTAGCAAAACATCTTTCCTGTCAAGGTGAACAACGCTGTTTGAAAATAGACATAATTCTTTTTAGTTTGAGCTTGAGCAAAACATATAGGGTATATTGTATGAATTTACCTTGATGGTGTAACCACTTTTTTATTGTTCCATAAAGTTGTCTGTTTCCTCCTGCTGCTTTTTCATTAGTTATCTTAATAGTCAATCAATTGTAATTGAATTGAAAGGGAGGAAGATTTAATATGGTTTACAGCTTTAATAATAGAATTATTTGATGCTTATGGGTTTTAAAAGATAGGACCTATACATGTACCTCCGGCATCAATAATGTGAATCCAGTCTCGTAAAATGCAATATAGTAAGATATATATTGGTGTTTGACATATGGATGTAATTCCAGCTTTCCAACGTTAAAAGTAAAGGCTACATTAGCCGTTTTTTTTCCCTGGTTGACACCAGCTAAGAGGAAAATTTCAGTTGCACTATTTTATGGTTTGTGACAGGTTAAATACAAATAATACAAATGTGTGATTTCAGCAAATATTGCCTAGGTAGATTAATGTTTCTCTTTTATTTTTATTATTTATTTATTTATTTATTTATTTATTTATTTATTTATTTATCTTTGAGAGAGGGATCCATTGTTTTCTTGAGTGATGTAAAATGACAAGGTGAAGATTACGAACAGTGATCGATACAATACAATACAAAAAAAAGTATAAGGTACCTCAAATAAAATATCATAACCCTCTTTATTATTGACTTTAATTAAATGAAATATAGAAGGATTGATTGATTGATTGTATGTTGTTTGACGTCCCATTCGACTCATATAGAGACGTCAGCATGTACCTGTGAAGGGCTTCAAATTTAGACTTTTACTCGGGTCATTGAGCAGTGAGGGATCTTTATCGTCCATACGCCTACCGGGACCTCAGTTTTTAAGGTCTCATCAGAAGGACCCGCAACTTTCACTTCAAAGTGCCGAGCGCTTGGTGAAGGAACAGTTGCTACATATTTTTTTTAATCGACTTAGGTCATTCGCGGCCGTGATTCGAACACACGACCTTCCGATCACGGAGCGACCGCTCAACCGACTGAGCTACCGTGACGGTGAAATATAAAAGGATACTTTTTTCAGTAAGATATAATATATCAATTCAGTAAAATTACCTCTTTAACTTTTTCCCTGTTACACTTAAATATTGTAAAAACTCATTGTCATGAATAAAGTCCTTGAAATATCAATATGAATGATTTTATATATTTATAGGTTTTTTCTTTCTTTTTCTAAGGGGGGGGGGGTGTTGTTTGGTTCCTTACTAAATGAAATATTCAGAGCATATTTGCTAAAGGGTATTTTATTTTTGTAGTTTTTGGATTTGAAAGATGATACTTTTTAAATTTAATAGAAATGGTACGCTGAGTTTGAAATGTAGAAGGGAATATTTGTGCGGAACGGCGATATATAAATATATATCTCCTATTCTTATTCTCAAAAAATAGAATGAAATTGGTGAAGATAAAGCATTGTAATCGAGCTCAAATAACCTACAAACAATACACATCTTTGAAGAGGGCATAAAACTAAGGACCCTGGAAGTTCCAGAGGTGGGAGAAAATTGAAGAATTATTGGCATCAAGGAATTTTCTGAAGAAACTAAAATTGATAACTCTGGACTAGAGTTTTTAGATTATATCAAATAAATATCATTTTTTTAAGTATTATCTTGTTAAATTTTGAAAGCTTCTAATCTAATAAAAAAGTTGGATTAAAAAAATACGATAAAAATGAGAAGCGTTCCACCTTAAAAATCGGGTATCGATTTATTGGTAAAAAATTAAGAAGAAAAATCCCTTCCGTCAGGGTTTGTCACTCTGACACACTACTCTGTAAACATAATTATTTGTCTCCCTATAGTTGATTAAATTATTATAAAATTATTACAATCACTTCCTTCGATTGATATTTTCTATTCAACAGTTGTAACATATATAATAAAATAAAATACACAACTCAGTCATAAAAAATACAAATTCCATACTTTCAATGTATTTAATCCTTTTTATTCTTTCGTAAACACCCCTGACAAGGTGATGCACATACCTTGAATTCTTGAAAACCGAAACAGATCCTAAGCTATATCCAAACACTCCTTTTATTTGACGTCTCCTGTCAAAATAAGCAAACCAAAGAAAGGTTAGCGATAAAAATACATGTGCTAAATTAGGCTTCCTTGTTAGATTTCCTGGTAAAAAGTGTTTTCATATACTACTTTATTTAGTGTACATAAATACATTGCATAGGTATGCATGATACACATAAAGTGCTTTCATGATACCAATGTAGATGTTTTAACCTTACAGAAACACATGTCGATCTTATAACACAGGGTGATACAAAATGTTAAAATAATAATAATGCAAGTTTTCTCTCAAGTGTGTTCGTGTCTCTTTAGAAAGTTTTAAAGTATTTATGCTTAAAGTTTTGCATACACTTATTTAAAATACAGGTTGCGGTCCTTAAAAAAAAGACTGCAAATCTGTGCACCATATATGTATTTCTTTGTACAAGAAATGAGAAGAAACGTTTCTAGGTTTTATCAAAATATATTCAGTAAAATATATTTCTTTTGTCTTGATCTTATACATATAAATTTTCTGTTTGTATTTTTTGCTAAATTGATTGATTGTTGTTCAGTGTCACATTATAGCATTTTGCACTCAAATAGAAATGCCATCGTATGCCGGTGAAGGACAGTGAGAGTTTTTTATCGTGCAAACGTCTACCGTCACACAAGATTCGAACTCACGACCTTCCGATCACGGAGCGAGAGCTCTACAGACTGAGCTACCGTGATGCTTAAAAGCGAAAGAAATCAAAGATAATTGTCTGTGGAGTGTACTGCACGGGCCTTCAGAGTTCCGTGACTTTTTTAAAAACTGAAAATGGTTTTGAGAACGTTGCCTATTCTGAAAGTTTTTGCTTATTTTTCAGTAAGGTTTGACTTGATTTTACTATAATAAACAGTTCCCTACATGATATGCGGATCTATTCACTGAAGAAAAGTGATATGATTTTCTTGGTGGAAAGATCTTCACATCCCCCTCACTATTATGCAAGTAATTTATAATAGAAAGGCTTTATATAATATGTAAATTAATGTTGATCTATGCGTCTATTATTGAAATTGCCTGTACAATGGACTTTCTAAAATCCGTATTTGGATGTATTTTAATTAACATCTAGAATAATCAGTAAGGAAGTATGTCCACCAGCATGCATATGTATTCTTATCAAGTTTCTTTTTATCATCTTTATGTTTCCATCAGATTATAAATAAAGAATTTAAAGTTAGAGAAATTATGAAATTGAATTCCTATTAAAATTTTAAAATCAATTTTTACACATTAATACATTCAAAGAACCAGCAGCTGTATGTTGAGTGTCATGACATGAGTTATGATGTCCCCAAGCTGACATCAGCAGCATATATATATGGCAATGTGATAATATGTCAATACAACGGTTCCATGTTTTGATAGTGTAGTCACTATTTGCCAAGCAATATGCAATCTTTAACATACACCAGTGACATGATATACTTTCAAAGTAATATAGTGAAGTGACACACCTTCAACCTAGTGATATGGCTTCAACCTAAATTAGTGGTGTGATATTTTCCATGTATTAACTAATTTTTCAGCTTCTTTGGGTTAACTTTACAATGGGAACTATTTCTCCTGTTTTACAGAATATTCGTTGATTGTATTTATATAAAATGAATACTCAGAAGTGTTTCCTTTTTATATTACATTTATGTTGTAAAAAAGCACAGATAAAAAGGAACAAAATGTACATAATTTATTCCGTAATCTATTATGCATGTATTTCAGATGGATTCATTTCAAATGTTTAATCAATAAAAATGTAAACTCAACGTCTTTTCAATATTCATACAATATCCTGCATTTAAGATGGATGAAAAGATACAGGCAAACAGGAACAAATTTTGTAGTTACTTTCAAGCTAAAATGAATTACCATTAATATGTCAACTCTTAAGTTTTTCAATATTCTTTAAAGTTTCCTCATTTAAGATTGATGCAAAGGTACAGATGAACAGGAAGAAAATAAAAATATAATTTATGCATGTATTCATATTCAGTTTGAAAGTGTTTTCAGGTTTCTGCACTTAAGATTGCTAAACAAATCACTTTAATTAACGGTAACATATGTGAATACTGATGTATTCAGGTCTTGAAAAAACACTTTGTGATGGAAGTGGGGTTGGGTCATGTGTTTGAACGGAATCGAATTCCCTTGTCTAACTGTCCTTTATGTGATTGAGGATATCTTTAATGGTTGCTGGCGTTACCTACAATCAATTTAGAAATAAAAATTTAGAGTTCCTGTCTTCATGTTCTTAATATATAAAGTATAATCTATGCTAAAAGCATTTAAAGTCAATAATATCAGTGAAATCAACATAAACATGTTAAAAAAAATAGTGATAAAAGCTTTAAAAGTATAGTGTAAAAAAGTAAATAGTTTTAAGCTACATGTAATTAACTACCGCCTTCCGAAATGTACAGTTCATCTGACAGGCTTTATACTGGTATAACATTTCATTTATATTTTGAAATTAATTTATTCATCAGGTCACATTGTCAAGAAATAATTACAAAGCTTATAAAGCTTACTACATGTATATATACTGTCTTTGTATTGAATCACTTAATAAGTCAAGGTTAATAATTGATAGCAATTTTGTAAGTTGTTACTTTTGTATTTAAAAAAAATACCCAGGCATGCATGTATCATGGGCAGAGTAGACTGTTCCGCTGGTTTTCTTTATATAAACCCATGGCTCATGTGGCTTGTCTCAAATCGCATCTTCTCGGACCTTTCTGGCAAGCTCGGAAAAACATCTCAAATTAATTTACATTACCGGATGTTAAAAATTTATACACGATGGAGTCGCTTTCTATTTATTAAAGTATTGGATAGATAGATTTAAAAGTCACTATTATAGTATATTTTAGGAAATATCTTTACATTCAATGTAGTTGAGCTCCAAACTCGACAGAGATGCGATCTCCCTATAATTCTGTGTATGAAAAAGGGCGTTGACATGGATGTCTCAAGGTTGTTTTTCATTTGTCGGAAAGGTCCAAGAAGTTGCGACTGGCTTGTATCGTACGTACTCTTTGTGATGGAATGACCTTTGTCTTCAATGCAATGTAGGGGCAGCTTTCACTGATGTGATGTCATTGTGCCTTCAGAACATGTCCACTCAAAACATCCTGCTGATAAAAAAAA